ATCCAAATATAATTTTCAACTTAATCCACCAAAATGTAAATTATTCCATCAAAAAATTGATTATCTATCACATATTATATCAGAAGAAGGTTTTCAACCAAATAATGATAGAATACAATCAATTATGAATTTAAGGGAACCTTCTACATTAGTGGAAGCAAATAAGTTCCTGGGCGGTTTATCATGGTACAGAAAATTTGTTCCTCGATTTGCATCAATAGCTGCACCAATACACAAGGTGACAAATTTAACTAAACAGAATCGAAAAAATTTTAAATGGGAACAACCACAACATGAAGCATTTTTACAATTAAAACAATTTTTAGTAACAACTCCATTATTTCTTGATTATCCAAATGATAATTATCCAGTTATCTTGACAACAGATGCATCCAAAATAGGTATCGGTGGTACCTTACAACAAAATATTAATGGTGAAATTAAAAATCTTTATTATCATTCTCAAGTAACATCTTCCACTCAAAAAAGATATGATCCCATTGAATTAGAAGCATTAGCAATATGGATGTGCTTTCAACGTATGCGGCCTTATTTATTAAAAAGATCAGTTATCATCTATACTGATCATTGTCCATTATGTAATATGATGAATTCAACAGTAAAAAATCGAAGAGTTGATCGTATATCAATATTATTACAAGAATATGACATCGAAAAAATCATCCATATTAAAGGTCAACATAATTGTTTAGCTGATTATTTATCTCGTCATCCAATTCCAAGAGAAGAAGAAATATTCGATGAAGATTATGGTATTGCTAAGCAAGATAAAGGGGAACCGACTGTTATGGAATGTGTTCCTGATGAAACTCCTCCATTAGCGGGAGCTATAACAAGATCCAAAACAAAAAAAATTACGATTAGAACAAGATAAAAATTCGACAACAATTACACCATCTCAAAAGAATGTAACACCATCATCAGCTGTAGATGAAGAAGAAGATGATCAAGGAAAAGATTCTGCATCTCAAGATATTCAGAAATATAGATTTGATATGGAACAATTAAAAGGTGAACAAGAAAAAGATCCAGTTATTCAACAGAAAATTATAGAAGTCAAGAAAAATCCAGTTAAATGTTCATATGAATTAAAAGATGGTTTACTATATAAATTATTAATGATGCGTGTTAATTGTAATACAAAGAAAAAAATTATATGTTTACCATCATCTATGATTAACAATCTTTTACAAGTTTATCATAGTGATCCACTGAGTGGTCATTTTGGTGTTCAACGAACATATTTGAAGATCAAGAATATATTTTGGTGGCCAGATATGAAGCAATCCATTACACGATATATACAATCGTGTTTACCTTGTCAACAATATAATATCACTCGTACGAAAAAACCTGGTAGATTACAACCAATTCCTCCACCTGAAGGACCATTTCAATTAATTGGTATGGATTATTGTGGTCCATTGAAGCAAACACCTAGCGGGAATCAATATGTATTATGCATTACAGATTATTTTACAAGATGGATAGTAGCTGTTGCTGTACCTGATTGCTCAGCACAAACAACTGCTGAAGCATTTTTCAAGGAATACATTTGCAAGTATGGGGTACCGGCAGTCGTACTATCTGATCAAGGTACACACTTCCACAATCAGTTAATGGAAGCAATGTCAAAATTAGTTGGATATGACCACACATATTCAACCACTTATCATCCACAATCAAATGGAATGATCGAAAGATTTAATGCTACATTCATTCCACAAATTGCCAAGCTTCAAGATAGAGAAAACAATAATTGGGATGAATTTTTAGCACCAGTAGTATTTGCATATAATACCGGATGCCATTCAACAACTCAATATTCTCCATTTCAATTATTATTTGGACGAGAACCAAGATTACCCACTGAAGCACCATTATCAACATTTACATTTCGG